AGACATATCCACAGATGAATGCTTTAGTATTAAGCCTTGAGATTATGCCAGTCTGTCAAAATAAATTACAATTATTTTTTTTTTTTTCATACAAGTTAAGAAGAGACAGAGTTCATTTAACTAATTTTAGCTGGAAGGGTCATCAACATCCTATTACAGGAGAGAGGGAAAAAAAGCATGTTTCACTAGAGTGGGAGAACTGTCACTCTGACGTCTACATGAGGAGGAGATGGGAATTTCAATTCTGATAGCATTTTCAGACTAGACGGAAATAAACTAAACATCCTTCACTAAGCCTATGTAATGATATCTTTAAAGGAAAAGAGGTAAAACCCAACAACAGCAATCAGTCGGTACTTCTGCAGTGAATTAGATCTACAGGCCTCAGTAGTTTTGCAAGTATACATTCTTTTGCAGATACTGAAAATATTGGCTTCCCTTCTCACATAATAAATGTTGCTGAAATGTATCTGTTCATATGCTGACCTTTGAAAATTAGATGCACATAATGCCAAGTGATACGCACAAGAGCTACTGAACAACGTAATTTAACAAAAATAATGCTCTTTACAAAGCTACCTAGTAAGCAGCCAGAAAAGTCCTTCTAAAACTTTAAGCAAATAAAGCTGGATAAAATAACAGCCACACCTGAATATTTGCATGAATGAAAATGAATATTTCAAGAATGGTACCATGACTGTTTTTTTCTCATTGTTTGTGAACATGTCTATCCTATACTACGCTGCACAGGAGAAAAATAGAAATTCTAAACCGTGGTGTCCCCAGAATTACAGAAGAGTACAGACAGGCTCATCACACTTGGGGTGAAAAGAGCCTTGCTGCATTGACAGCTCTGTGCAGGAAGGGCAGATACAGACAGGGTGAGAGAAGACTTAAGTAAGAGGGGAGGAGAGATTGGCTTCTCAAAGCTCTTGCAAGTACTTCATATACATTTGTGTTTGCAAGACAAGGTGATATTGACTTCTAAAGACTGTTAAGCCCTTTGGAGAATAAGACGTGCAAGTTACAGAAAGAGTGGCTGCTGGGTGTGTGTAATGGGTGTTTCCCAAAGACTGCTTGAGTGTTTTGCTTTGTACTGGTCACAGGAACAGGTGTTCCCCTCGCAAACGGAGGGACTTCTTAGTACTGGACATTTCTGAGGGAAATATTTTTTATAGCAATTCTCAGTTCTGTTTGCCATGTATTTCTTTACCAGTGCAACTTTAAAAGGGGGAAAGCTTACTTTCCCCCTTTTTATCTAAGGTTTTTACATTCCTTTGGGTTGTCAGTTCTATAACCATATGCCAGAGACGGTGAGACAGCCAAAGCATGTGAAATGGCCTTGTCAGGTGTTTTTCTTAAACAGTGAGAAGTAATATATTTTATAGCTTTTCAGTTATGCTCCTGCCTGTCATCAGCACTGTTACTCATCACCAAATGCTGTGCCCTGCAGGGTCACTACTGTTTTAACTGTTCCTTCTCCATCTCATCTCCTGCAGAATTTGTGAGCATGTAGCTCTTGTTCTGATTTTACAGGGTATTTTCCATCCTATGCCTTTTTTTTTTTGACTTTCCATTTTTTAAAATGTGAGTCTGTTCCCATAGTACATGCCAATTTGGTTTTCTTCCTCTGTTTATTCGTGCTGGCTGTTGTCCCACTTCAGCTGAATATCTAAACCACATTTCCCCTTTGAAAAGCAACGTGAAGGTCATTCTTTGATTCAGGCAGTGAGAGTTACTTACTGTTTGAGTAACATTTTTTTGTTCCATCTAAACTCATGAAAAGTATCACTCCCTGGGGAGGGAGAGCAGACTCTCCAGAATTACAAACTTGATTAAGGGAAGGCAGTTACTGACCAGGTCTCCTTGTTTGAGCCTCAGAGAATGATACATGTGCACACTTGGTAAAGCTACTTCTCAGCTCCCTGCCAGAGAAGCCTTCACTCTGAAGCCTGACAGTTCCCGAGTTCTTGGAATTCAGAACTCTGCAATTCTAAGATTGCAGTTTAGATTATTTTTGCATGTTTTCATTCTATTTTCTGTGAAGACAGAGGAAGGGAATCTCTGTTGTTTCTGTAGCATTTTCAAAACTCCTTTGGACGTTTAAAAAATGAAACCTGTGGAACATGTCACTGTGGTAGGTCACTTGCCAGGCTGTTTACTGCTACTTGTTTAATGAAATGTGTATCATTCCTTTATACAACTATTAGTTTGAAACCAGTAAAGCTGTCTTGAGATTCACATAGACTGTGCCTTTTGTTGCTATGTAGCATTGTTTATGCATTTTCTCTGAGCTGATGGGTATAATTATATTTGCGATAGAACATATATAGCAATTGATGCAGCCGAACTCTATTCTTGATTCCTCTTTCAGCATGAGCAAAGTTAATCTTTCTACAGCCGGGCTTTTCGGGGCCCTACACAGGATGCACCAAGGTTCTATAAAATACAATTTACAAGGTGTAAGGATCAATATTTCACTGTTAGTATAAGAATATACTGATAAGTTAATTCTCTGACCATGCTGAGCATAAGTCGGTGGTAAATTGCTAAAAAAGGCTGAGTGGACTCAGCTGGCCTCTGCCCTCAACCTGTAGCCATTGCTGTGATTTACATGAAACATGACAAACCAAACAACCTGATAATAACTGTGTTTCACTCGCAGTCTTTTTTTTTTCTTCCTGGGGAAAGTCAGAAACTGGTATTTCTAATTTGTGGATTGTGAACTTTGTTTCCATTTTTGGGTGTTTGGGGTATTATGCACACACAAAAGAGGTAGTACATTAATTTCCACCTGTTGCCTCTCTCCTTGAAAAACAAAACTTATTCTAATTGTTTACTGGAGACATCAAGAGGAAGAAAAAAATTGACAACAATTCTATCAGTAGTACTTAAAAATGGCCTTCTTCATCAGGTATAAAATGGTAAATATATTTTTCAAATTTAATCTTACCTGACAACATTAGAAAGAGCTTTATCATGACCAGTCAAGTTTTATTGCAGCTGCTCAGTCTGTCTATGTAATGCATTTAAAAAGTGAAGTCAGTGCTGCAAATGATAACTAATTTGGGGTGTATATAGCCCTTCACATCACATAGTGTTTTGAAATTTAAACTTACATATTTGAGAGAGTTCTGTCACTGGCAAAAGAATGTTAAAGTATCAATTTACTGTTGCAAAAAGCAGGAAATAGGCAGAAACAGAAAGAAAAAAAGAGATTTAATTGATGCCATATGGCATCAGTAATCCGTAAATGTCATCAGGTAGTTTTAAATAATTACTATGAAATGTGATACAGGCATAAAAACTTCAGTTCTGACAAAATGAATACACTGATTGTTAGGAGATACTCAGAGCATCATAGGAAATCCTCATCGTATTCCAGTCTAGCAACTGTCAGGCAATAGGATGTCAGCACATTCTGCTTTTGGGTGGTTATCTATTTTAAGCTATCAATAGCATCTATCTAGCTAGCTAGCTATCTGTTTGTCTGAATTGCATTTTTGTGAAAGATCACAGGTTTTAGTCCAGATACAAAAAAATCTCAGTTTCTCCAGCTTAAGTTTATATTTGTGTTTTGCAGTTGGTGTCATTTAGTATCATTTAGGTGACAGGTGGGAAAATATAAGAATAAGTAAATGTGGCCAGCAAGACAGTGTTCACACTCTGAACATTTCACCTCAGAGCTGAAACTCTTAGAAGTGCTGCAGGTAAAATTCAGAATATAAAGCAGCGCGTAAAGTAGCATGTTAGAGAAAGAAAATGAAGGGGATTCTTTGCTGAGCTACATATGTTACACCCATTTATACAAGTTCCAGGGTAGATTAAAACTAAGAGACTTACAATATGCTTTTACTCTGAAACGTACTTCAATTGTTTTAGTAATGTAGAAAACTGCAAGAATTGTTGAAGATAAAATATAAAATGAATTCTTCAAGCAAAAATATTTAACATAAATACATATTAATTAAATTAATTTATTATTTGTCACTTTTCAGCTCACTGACAAATGTGGAAGAGAACCAAGAAATTATTTATTCATATGTTTTTTGTTATGTCATGGCCAGGGCAGAGAAGAGGAATTTGTATACTCAAATTACATTTTCTATATATGGATGTAAGTGACCATGTGAAGCTAGGAGCAGAAGAATCAAGCCCTGAATTTTGGTTAGATATTCCAATCAAGCCACAGCCAGCTGCGAATTTAACCACTTAGCAATTTTGTTGTACCCTCTGTTTCTAATTTTAAATCTCTTCAGACTGGAGGCCATGCTTTCTTTTGGTTATCGACTGCCTTGCTTATCTTCCTTTTAAAGCTGTACTTTGACAACTGTTTCTTTCAGTAGTGATGCTGACACAAGCAATTCCACACCCTTCATTCCTTTCATCCCCTCCCATTTGTTCCTGCCTCCGTACCACATTTTCTCTTGGTTTATGGGGCCTTGCAATGATCTAGGCTCAGCTGGAGAACTAATCCTGGTTAAAAATAACCCAGGCAGATCAAGAAGTGTTGAGTTGTAATGTCATTTGCTTAACGTCACAATCTCTCAAGCAGTTGAGCCGACAGATTTGAGGGACTAGTCTGAGCACTGTGATGTATGCACAGGGTTGAAAGAATGCATCCAAAAAGAATTTTCATTAAATAATACCCAAAGACTTGGGTGGCTTCCTTAGAGAAGGAAGCCACAGCTATTTTCACAATCCCAGTGGATTTAATATTACAACTGCTTTACCTACAGCTGCTCTTGCCAGTCAGTAGGGGACCAGGCCCATTTATTTGATATTGCTGACTGACATTAAATCATCCGTGTAGGGACTGATAAATAAAGATGAGAGTAAACTTGTTGGTAAATATAAGTAAGTAAACATGTTCTGTAAATATACACTGAAGTCTAATTAAATGTTGATTAAGCTTTTACAAACCCAGAAAACAAATTCATATATCTGTTCTTTATTGATGAATGAAATAGCAGAAGGTTTTAGCCTTTTCTTTTTTCCAGGTGTAGAGCTGAATTCACTGCGCCAAATGAAGATACAGAGACCTATGACGATGCTTACAGATGTCCGACAGCTCATATCAAGTGGAGGAAGCGTGAATCAAAAGAATGATGAAGGAGTTACCCTGGTGAGTGGGAATATGTAGTCATCACCCTGTGAATATGCATGTACTGCAGCTGTGTACTGGGGAGCAAGGCAATTCTCTAAGAGGAGAAATGAGGGAATGCAAGATTTTGGTTCTCGTCTGGCCTTTTGAAAATAGATATATGTCAATGCCATGCATAGTACAGATTTTAAAATAGGCTAGTGCAACATCTGTGCCTTAACGACAACTTTCTTACTGTTAGCCACTGAATATGCAACACAAAAATTAATAGCAAAAAAAAAAATTGGCACTGTAGTTTAGAACTGCAGCAGATACTTACGGTCTCTGACATTCTGTGAGAGGGCTTGAAACTTCACTCAGTGATTCCTATTTTAGGCTCATATCTTCTGGCTGAACCAGGCTAAAACACCGTTTCATGAAACTATCCCATCTTGATTGAGTGTAATGAAGCATCCACCATACCAGTGGATAAGTGTTCCTTCTTCCAAATTTGCATGTTATTTGTAGTCACTGGGTCTCATTATACTTTTTTCTGCTAATGGATCTTCTGTCCCTTTGTTTTTTCAGGATCACTACTTCTTAAGCTGTCAAATAATTTTAAAATTAATGTAATAAAATAATTTTAAAATTAATGTATTTTTCCCTCGATAGCATGTCTGTGGAATGTTCTCTTTGCATATAAAATCTTCAACATCATTATCAACCAGTAAATGGTTATCAGCAGCATTAAAATACTGAATAACTTTTTAAAATTATTTTGTGTTTTTCTGCAAATACTGTACTAAAATAATTAGAAAGGCATGTATTACTGAATTTCATTATTATTATTATTTCAGCATTTATACTGAATTACATTGCATGTTACTGAATTAATACACCAAATCATTAGTATTTAATTCCATATTTTAGTACCTGTGGAGTGTTTAAACTATAACTGAAAAAGTGAGCAGCCTCATATCCGGGGTTGTTGAATCCAGCCACTGGCTGTGTCTGTACAGAAAGCTATGACATTTGGGGTGGCCACCCCAAGGCAGTTAACTGTAGTTAAAAACAGGAGGGAAGCAGGGGAGGGGTGGGAAGAAAAACTGCAACTTTTAGTTTAATTCATAAAAGCATTAATTTAACTTCCAGTTTTCTGATACATTTAAGCTAAGTTGCTAAATCACAGTAAAATGCAAAGTTGTTTCTGTTGTACTTTACTCTTATTGCTACTTTAGTCTGAATTGGCTAAGTTGAGTTATGAACTTACCTAACTATCATTGTATAAAACCTTTTCTGTAGTTAGCTGGAATAGTTGAAATGCATGTCTGAAATGTGTTTAACAGTACTGCAGCTACTAGGAGAAAAGCATTGTGGGTAGCTTGGCTTTGTTATTTGCTTGGTGGGATGTGGACAAAGGGGACATTTTTTGCATGAGCAGTTTTTATGTTGAACTTTGATTTTTTGAACCTCTTTCATAGTCTTGCGACAAGTAGCTACAGAGTGGATCATTTTGCTTTTGTCTGAGATTTCTATTATGTGAAACTTTTGTCTGACAAACTGGTGGGAAATCCAGGATTTGTTAAACTGCTCTGTCTCTATTCATGGGTGTGGAGTCAGCCAGTCTGTGATAGCTGTATGTGTATCAAAGGGTGCTGGGAATAGTTTTTTGTTGCTCTACATCTATCTGTACAGAGAAAACAACAAATATCTCAGTTGTCAGTAGCAAATGAGATTTGTTTTCTCTTGATAGAATATATCTAAGTCCCTGTGTAAGTTAAGATGAATCAGGCAAAAAATTGATGCCATAAATGTATAAATGCACACATTCTCATAGATTCATAGCACATACATATGTGTACATGCAATACAGACACAGAATGATGTATGGCAAAATTATTTTTTCTGCTAAATTCTCCTGTAATAATTTTTTCTTTGACAGATTGCAGTCATAAAATATTTTCTTTGTCCTGTGAGCATTTAAACTACTTTAAGATAGCACTTGTCAAATTGATGTCTGAATAGAAAATGTAATTTCTTCTGTTAAAACAGGAGAAAAGCTGAAGCAATGTCAAATTATGGGAAAATTTTGAGAGTTTTGTACATTTGAAATTAGAACATTTATAGTGTACAGAATTGGTGTTCTGCCCCTGGGGCAGGGGTGTTCTGCCCCCTTTCCAGAGGAAGATTTTTGATGAACTGTAATGTGTTTCATCCCTCTGCATCAAGGATGTTCATAGAGAAAACTTTATGCATACTCTGCAGGTGCAGCTGAACCAGAAATAGCAGATAAGGCAAATAATATCCTGGACTCTGGTTTTGGTGTCTCCTATGCTTGTAGTGACTTTGGAACTACACAGTTCTAGAAACAGGCTTATTGCAAGACCTTTTTCTTGCCATTAACCATTCATTTCAGTCCTCAGAAAAATAGTCTCTTTGGCTAACATTGCTTCAACTGAAAAAATCATGTAATTGGGCTACATGATTTGGGGATACAGGTTACCACCTATAATCTCAGTTCTCCATTTCTGCAATCTTCCTGAGCCCTGTTCTTACTGACCATCATGAGAATTGACTCCTTCTACCTGTGGATGAGCAATTATATTGTGCCAATTTTCAAATGCAAATTTTGTCCCCTTTGCTCCCAGAAGTGGAGGGGATGTTTGAATTCATAGCAGAGAACCATGAGAAGATGAACACCACTAAACTAACCTGGATCAATCTGGTCATGTGAAATATGTGCCTCAATGTACAATTAAGTATCTAGGGAAGCAATGCAAGTAAAAGAAATAAAATCTCTGTGGTTCAAAATCGAGAAAGTATTTTTTGTGACTGTTTTTGTGCTGCAAACTCAGTGTGTTTGGTTTGATTATGTATTAATGAATTCATTTTGGAGTAAAGTAGTGTCAGCTTACATCTGGGATATTTGAACTGCCACAAAAGAAAATTAGGTCCATGCTCTGCTGAAATGTATGAATCTACCTGGGCTCATGAAGTTTGTGAATGTGTTTGAAAAGATGTTTGCTTGAAATTGTATGAAAAGTATCTAGTGCGACTAGATTGTTTAAATAGCTCTCAATAAGCTAACATTCTTATTTTTTGGTCGGTTTTGTTTATAAATGTTAAAAAAGACTCCACAGTGGTTATCATCTAGTCTGTTGTTATCACATGTAGATTTTGTATTTGTCATTATCGTGATTTAGCCAGTTAGGTCTGTGGGGCAGCCAAGACACGCAGTAGTGCGTCATGGGCTTTTCTGAGTTCTTTAAACTATTAAGATGCTTTTATATTGCAGCTGCACGTGGCCTGCGCTAATGGATACAAGAACGTTGCATCTCTGATACTGGATCATGGGGCTGATCTCAATGCAGTGGATAATCAGTACTGGACACCCCTACATTTAGCTGCAAAGTATGGACAGGTAAAGCATGATTTTTTCACCTGCTTCTCTTTTCTTCGTGGTAGTCTTCTGTAGCAATAGCAAATACTTTCAAGTTAGGGAGACTATTCCGGTTTTAATGTGAAAAGCTTACACATTTCCATACTATAGGTGGCATCTCAAATGACAGAGTTCATTTGAGAATCAGTGACACACAAAAACCTCTTCAAAATCAGATTATGAGGGCAGCAAAACAAGCCTCAAGAAATTAGAATATGCCAGGGTTGCCTGTGTAAATTTAATAGAGCCTTTTGGACATATACATTCTTAACACTGTGATTGATGGCAGTTTGAACTCCCTTGTCTCATTCATGTGCAACATGTGGAGTGCTGGGATATATGTGGCTGCTGCCTGCGCACACCAGAGTGAGGCACACATCGTCACTTGGGTACCACACCGCCCATGCTGGCACTGATACCAACTGCAGAAGGGCGACTTGTATTTCTCAGGCTGGCCCCCTAATTTGAATTTAGCACAGCAATCACTTTGTCAACAGCTAGTAATCTGGCATTGGTAGTGCTGTCCCCACTGGACACCTTCCAGGCTGCTGTGATCAGGAAAGCACACGCTCACCCTCCCCGTGGTGGGAATAGGCTGCAGCTCTGACGTTTCCCTTTGGTACTTTGGCACTTTGGCACAATTCCCAGCCACAAGCTGTTTCTTTGTTGTTTATCACAGAAATTTCACCTTTCAAGCCAGCTATCGGAGGCATGCAGGTCAGAGCTGACTCCCCAATAGCTTAAACACTACCTCTCCCAAAATTTCATCCTTGGGGGATGCTGCCTATGTCTAAACTGTTAAATTGCTAAATAAAAGAAGGCTAGAGATTAAGCCAGGCAACAGTCTGGCTCACATTCATATTGTTTAGAGCTAGTTTATAGGAGATTAGTCTTGTTTGTAAAGAGCTGGTTGGAGTGGTCCAAAGCAGAGTCAGGGACAGAGCTAGCAGTTAAGCAGTGTGGATTATAAGGGATACTTAAGCTTACTCCATTGCACTCTCTGACTTAGCGAGACAGATTTAGCCTCTGGCTTTGAGGTTTAACAGTTTCATGATGTCAAAAAAAAAAGGTAAGAGAATTGTTGAACTGCTGACTGTACCTCTCCGAGAGTAACTCCTGCACTAGCAAGGATTTCCCATTAATAAATTGGAAATATCCCAAATAAATAAGAATTGTTTAGTAAGCTCAGATGCTTAGGTCGCGTCTTAGCATATTATATACATCCTGTGTCATTTTCAAAATTTGTGTCTGAAATTGCCATTCTGTAAGTATATTCTCCCTTAATATACATTTGTTTGGCTTGTTTGCTTGGACTGAATCATACCTCTCTGTCTAGTTATTCATACAAACGCAGCATTTCTTTCAGATCATAGAAGGGACTCTGCTCTTCTTGCTGAAGTCTAAGAGAACACATTTTCTTACTGTGTGATCTAATTTGCTCATCGTTAGCAAAACACATTAGTCATTTGACCCAACTATGAACTGCAGTTTCATTTTCTTTTCTTTAAGTGCATGTTGACCCCAAAATAGAAAAAAATCCACACAGATCATTAGAATATGCTTCAATGAAAAGGGGATGCCTGAACTCATTGTAGGATATGATATTTAATCTCATTCAAGTTTGGCCATTGCCCTAGCAGTTCCTTTGAATGCAGTTTCTGGACTTCTGCATATTCCACAAATGTTTTCAATGAGAATAGCCTAAAGAAGGGGGTGCTTGTTCAGTATTTCAAAAATAATAGAGTATAGTCACTCAGGGAATACATATTTTCCCTGTCAAGCAGTTGGAATCTTTCATTTATGGTCAGAAAATCCTCTAGAGAATGTTTTATCCAGACATATCTCATCCTCTTTTCTTTAGTCTTTTTGTTCATCTTTGGCATGCGTGATTCTACTCAGGTAGAAGAGCAGCATTTCCCTTCAGATCAAATTACACTCATTTTCCTCAAGCAGAGAGACCGCTTTGGGATTTCTGCCTGTGATATCTTTCTTTCACTCTCAATACATTCAGCAGGTTTCTATAAATGATTCAAATGCTAATTGTGGGTACAGAACAGTAAGGCAAGAAAAGCTAGATTCACACAATACCAAATGATAAGAAAATAGATTTACAAGCTTGAGCTTCATATACAGGCTAGGGGCAACCTCAATTTACAAAATTACTATAAAATTCTCAGTTTTTACGTGTATGTTTTTAAAGCTGAGATGTGCACAGACTACACTATATATTTATTTGATTATTGCAGGATCTCAGTGATCAATATAAATTTCATTTTCCTTGAAATACCAGCTATAGTAACTTTTTCTCATATATGTACATATAAAAATATATATATATATATAAAAACACGAGAGGCATATATGACAAAGTCCTCTAATAAGACTGTTCAGGCACAAACTTTGAGAAGTTCCAGAATTATGATCTTCTCTGTAGTATTAATATATAACTTGTAGGAATATAATTTATAAGCATCTTTAATCACAAAATCACATAATATTTTTCCCCAATTTACTTTATTTTTTTCTCTGTTTAATTTCCTGGTGGATTGAAAAATAGAAATGTAGGTTATCAATCTTGAAGTAAAGATTGCTGCAGTCTTTACTTCAGCTGTAGAAAAACTTTTAAATAACCTTTGTCACTTGCTTAGATAGCTGAAAACAGTATTGTCCTTCTTGACTTGAACTATTCCAGAGGTTTAAAAGGCATACTCTTAGGCCATATAGGTTAAATCACTGACTGCAGAAAGGTAGTGGTGACACTTGGGGAACCTGGGTTCCATTCCAAGCTCTGTGTATGAACAGACACAGTCCTTACGGTTCATTCCTCCCACACATAACCTTATTTGTCCTATTGTCTCCAGTCTGTTCCATTCTTGTCTTTATTCTGTTGCCTTACTGTCCCATTCATTTGCCTGGCTTCACGTCCTTTCCATATGCGTCTTATCCCAATCCTAATTTCCTTGCACAGCCAGCTTCTGCCCCTCCTCCTCTCCCTGGTTCTCATCCAAGCTTTCTCTTTTCTCTACTTTGGCTTTATGCCAACCTTCCTGCCCTTCTGTTATACTTACCCCTTTTTCCCACTTGCTCACAGTCCCAGTCTCCCTTGTTCAATCTCAGTGTTTTTTCCTCACCGTCTCACTTTCTTCTTTCATTTTCTTTTCCGGCTTAGTCTGTCTCTACCTACATCCTGGCTCCTTGCCATGACTCTCTTCTTCCCTTTCACTTCATTTATTTCATGCTGTTCGTTCCAAAGTTCAGCATTTTATCCATGCTCTGTTCTATTTTTTCTCCTCCACTCTTTCTACCCTGCTGCTAGTCTCATTCCCGCAACCTACTTTTTCTATCTGTTCCACTTTGCTGACCACAGGTGGTTATGGTCCCCTTTTCCTGCACTCAAGTAGAAAAAATACCTTCTTCATCTATATTGCATTAAGAAGGGAGATCTGTAATGAGTTTCAGACATCATTTCCTGTGTCTAGAGCAGTACTGTGGATCAGATTTGCAATTGCAGAGAAAATGCTATTTAGCTTCTGAATGATATTGCTCTTATTTAGGGGTTTACATATGAGACTGGCTTTAAGGGAGACTCAGTCTTCTAGAGCATACTATTATGTAATGGAGAGCAAATATATGAGCTTCAAAACTAAATTCACGGTAACTCTAATAGTTAAACAATTACCTTACTCCCAAATGTTGGGAGTCTCTGTCTTGGGATTTGCTTTTGTTTGTTTCACTCCCCAGTAGCTTAAGTGAATACAAGTCCCTAACCCGCACTTTTCTTCTCAATGTCCTTGATGCTTAGTGAAGTGCTGATTATCACCCCGTTCCACTAGTTAAATACATTTCTCAGTATTATTCTAAGCAGCTTCTTACTCGATGACTTACCTGATTTTATTTATTCCATCTGTTGAATATATGGCTAGCATGAAGTTACAGCACTTCTATCGCAGAAACTTAGTAATGGTAAAAATAATAGACATTGTTTGTTTATAATAATAAACAAACATTGAAACTGCTTTCCTGATTTATATTTTCTTATTGCAAATCTTTTAAATATCCAAGTGGATGTTTAAAAAGAGCCACTGATACTGGTTAGAAGAACATTTAGGCCTACAGTGGACCATACTAGCAAAGGTGGGCTCTTTGATTTATCCGTTATAATCTAAAATCTGTCTTGTAAGCATCTGGTGGCTATGATTTTTTCAAGGTTTGAAATTTGGCTAAGTTTTTACAATTTTCCAAACAGAAAACAATAGCAATATTCTCAGCCCACGGAATTCATCTTCTGCCTAATACAAAGTCTTCAAATCATACACACATTGGAGCTCACAAGTGTCGATCAATATATTTTCCCACACCCTGCTCCCAGAAGTGCTTCATTGATTTATTTTGTTGATGTTGATTTATTGATTTATTCTTCTGCCTAATTAAAAAAAAAAAAAATCATAAGCACTCACAGGCAGCAGTCCTAGCAAACTGCCTAACAAAAATCACACAGTGAGGTAAACATGCACTTTTCCAACCCAGTGAAGTAAAGTTTAGCCTTATGAGCAATTGAAAACTGGTTCTTATGAGCGCAGATGTAGGCCATCTTACTCAGTGGTGAAGGCTGCAGATAATAATGATGTAACCAGTGGTATTTTATGTGTTCTGCCTAGGGGTTTTTTTGTGTTTAGTGAATAAGCACCTTAGATATTAAAATAATACTTGGGGATTTCACACTATTCTGAGATTGATGGTCCAAAATAATACTGATTTTGATCTAAGGTTGTTGATCCACTAGTTTTCTACTATATGGCTTTTTCTCACTGCGGATGAAAGCATGCTGGGGACCATATCCAGAGAAAATGGAGTGGAAACCTGAGAAGTCACAGCAGGTGGAAGGAAATTGCAGGAAGAGAGTGGAAAGGCCTTAGTCAAAGAGAACTGAGGAATGGATGTCAAGAAGGAAAAGAAAAATAGCATTGTCCCAAAAAAGGGAT